GGGAGAAAAAGCTCACCGGCTCAAAAGCCAGGGATAGGGCCTGGACTCATCCTGGCCTCATCCGAAGAGCACCGAATGGTTGCATTCCATCTCAAAACTGTCCAGAACGGTTGCATTCCCACCATGAAACACAAAGACAAAGTAACTTAACACGTTTATTCCGAATATAATAAATAACAACAACATGTATATACCACATGAAACCATATAAGAAGAAAGATAATGAACTAACCTCTCAGTGGAAACCATCTTGTACTTCTCTCCTTAACCAAAAGAGAAAAACAACTTTTGACTTGCTGCCCGAAATGGAACATAATTATCCTCATAATTAGAAAGAGCATGAAAAACTGAACAAGAAGATTATAAACATGAAAGTAATAACTGCGAAATAGACAAGACTTTAACGAAAAAAATTTCGATCGCACGATCAGGAGAAGATTCCGGAGGAAAACCATTTCTCATGATCGATAGAAACGCAAGCACACACTATTTTGGGACAGACATCGTTGTCTCTCTTCCTATTGATACGTGTCCGATGCAAGAATGTATAAAAAACACCTACCCCACATCAACTGCACATCGTGCATAGTACGAGTACGAAAATGGAAAGCACGTGCAAAACTACTTATTCACATGATGTATGTTGTTTTTGTGTATTCAATGCCTATATAGAGTGATACAGAGAGTGTGATCATATAAAATACTGTATTAAGACGTTAGCAAGTTAATGAAATACAAAATACAACAATAGCGAAATAGGATGAACGTTTATAAATCTAAATTAAAATGAAATATAACAACTAATGAGTCGACACGGATCATCCTATATACTCGAGATTAGTTGAGTAACGCACAGAGAGAGAGAGGGAGAGAGAGAGAGAGAGACAAAGAAAGAGAGAGAGAGAGAGAGACACACACAAACACACTTAGACATTACCATACATAGACACATGTATGTATTTATATATATATATATATATTTATATATAATAGATGAAAGAGCATATTATTGGGATTACATATGGGAGAAGTACAAAATACAACTGGATTTCAGAAGCCCGTATATATATTTGGTGTATTATTAGACCATCGAATGGACAAGAAATGTTTCTGAGGAACATGCTTCTCTAGCTGCCCACAAATGGAGATGAAACGGTATATATATATACGTATGAAAAGACCTTTCGGGGAGATTATTTTGCGTACAAAGTTTATAGAGGCATGTAGTTGGCTTCATCTGTTAAGATGACATACACACACAACATACTTCGCTCACATTTGACACTAGATGAGAATCAAAAGACAGAAAGATGAGGGAACAGGAGAGAGAGAACAGACTCGTGACAATCTTTCTGATGGAAATACAATATAATTTATTCAATAATATTATATATTAATATAAATCGTCTTCGGAAGTCTTCAAAAGACGTTACTCGATGGTTGAGGAACCAATTGGAAGGTCAACTCTGTTGGCTCTTTAATCAGAGACTTAACTGGCAAGTGTGCCATGATTTCCGTCAAGAAGTTACCCTGCAAGTATATGTTTAATAATTTCGTCTTCAATATAAACTACTCACTTCAGGATCATTACACTTGATCATGAACGATTGGAACAAGTATTGCTTGTCGGCGTTAACAGCTTTACCAAATCCTTCGGGCAATGATTCGTTTGAAGGAGAAATAGAACCACTCTGAACATCAGAAATTTAGATAAGCATGTGAGAAGCATCAACTTACAGTATGACTGTTCCTTTCATGAGTCTTCTCATCAGTTTCCTTCTTTACCATGGAAAGTCCATTGTGAGCAACGGTCGCATGAGCTTCTAGACTAGCTTCATCGTCATAAACGACATCACATAGTGAGCATTTGTATCTCTCCGCTTCCATTTGAAGGTGGAGCATCTAAAAGTTAGATCAATGAGAAATGCTACATATGGAAGAAACATACCTTATTAGTAGCAGCCATTCCGAGAGCAACACGGGCTGTCATCTTGAGAGCCTCATCTTCATCTTCATCAGGTTGCTGCTTAGCTTCATTGATTCGATCATGTCTCTCCAAGTGCATCTCCAAATTCCTTTGATCTTTCGTTGTGTACTGGCACAGTTTACAGTGTAAAACACCGTCTGTAGATGATCCAACAGATTCCGTACGTTCGCCGAGTTCTTTTTGCATTTGTTGATGCATAAACTCGGTTGGGTGATTTTGAATGATATGCATCTGGGCTTCAATATCATCTTTGAAAGTGGTTGGGCAGAATTTGCATTCTTGCGATGGTGATGATGGAGCAGCCGAAAATGGAGTTATCAAATCGCTAGCTGCCGATGAGTTTGAGATAAGACTTGGCAAGTCACCAGCATGATCATTTTGGAAATGTTCAGCCAGCTGACTGCTTGGAATCCTTCGTTGACACATCGGACACTTTGTCTCATCAGCTACAGATGGAGTAGCAGTGTTAGAAGCTGTTGTTCCATTAGTAGTTGGAGTTGCAGGTAGAGATTTTCGGCTGGCACTATTGGCTAATGGCATCACACCATGTAAATCTTGCTTATGAGCTCTCAAAAGACTTCGAGACTTAAGTTCTGTGTGACAAATGTCGCATCTAAAACACAAACAGCTTAACTCAAACCAAAGCGAGAGAGAGAGAGCTTACCTGAACGACAGAGTTCCCATGCGTTCCTTTTCCACAGTATCAATATTAGCAATAACAGTTTTATTTTCATCAATAACTATTCCGTGCATTTTAAGCATATGAGTTCGAAGGAAGTATTTGTTACAAACCTTAAAAGGAGATATTGAATGCTTCATCTCTCATTGATGACTACTTACCTCCTTATTGCAGAGATCACAGTAATTTTTCCCGTTTGAAGAATATTGTCTTTTGACAGTTGGCGTCTGTAAACAAGAAGACCTTATATGAGATAGTCTATGCTAGAAGCCACTTACGGTATTGTTGAGTTGAGCTAGAGCGGCCGCTGTGTCAAAATCTCCTATATTAAATTGGGTGGGTAAGCTGGGCATCAAAAAGTTCAAAGCTGCTGGGAAGCTAGCTGCCTGTAGTCCCATGTTAGCGAGAATTCTGAAAAAGAGTCAAAGGTTTAATATGAACATAAAGCTATGTAGAAGTTGAAACACATTATGGAAGGATAGAGAGAACTGAGAAGACAAACACCAACAACAACAGCACATCACACAAACGGACCTTTGTGCCATCGAATTATGCTGAATCATCTTATGACTTTCCAGAAATTCTTCATTCTCAAATTCTTTTTCACATTCATTACATTTCATATTTGGTGAAGATGATGGTGTTGATGGACAAGAATCCCTAGAATACCCAATTTTCAATCATTCACCCCATCACTCTCAAACTGTGCTCAAGCTCAGTCTCCAATGGCTTACACTGTCTTCTATCTCTCTCTATATCTTACTCTCTCATACCAATCTCAGCTTCTCATTAACTCTCCACTTCATCTTCATTTTTTTCAGATTATGATCGAACGAGTTACATGTTATCCAATTAATAAGGCGATAGAAAGCTTAGAGGTCAACTTACTTGGCAGCTGCTGCATTCTCGTCGTCTTCAGTCTTCATCCTTTTCTGGGCTGGTGGTGTTAGATCATCCCGATCTGATGACGTCACAGAGTTACTGTTCACAATGACAGATGGCTGCGAAGAAGCAGTAGAGGTAGAAGGAGCCAAAGAGAATGGAAAACCAGCTGAAGACATAATCATATTCATAAGCTAACAATCATCTTAACATACCAAAGCTCAATCCATTCTGAGGGCTGCTAGCAACTTTCAAAGGTGAATGTTCCTCTAACACTTTCTTTTGTTGCTTATTCTGTAATTGAGAAATATCATTTAGACTGTCATCAACTAGAACCATCTATCTCAAACTACGAACAGGTAGGTTGGTCATGGGAATTTTCAAAATCAAATTTCTTTTTTAATTTTTTTTTCAAAAATAGGATTGATTGGTCGAAAGTATATCTTTTGGATTGAGTTGAGGTAATCAATCATCTTTACCTTTTTTGGGCAAGAGAGGGTTTTATTATTTATTTAAAAAAGGGATGTGTGAGGTAAGTAAAGGATGTGATTGCGTGTCTCCCATTGGGATTGACTTCCAGCTTGGCTAGGTCAAAGATGGTTTGTGAATAACCAAACATAGTCATAAGATACACACAGAGATAAACAATGAAAATATGAGAAACAACATACCTTATTTGGACTTGCATTTAATTGACTCAAAATACTATTTGAATTTAACATGTTAAACAGATTGCCTTGTTGCATTTGCTCCAATAGGTTTGGCACGGCTATGCTGAAACACGAGATTCATCATTCAATTACTATCATATCATTGATAACTTACTTATTCTGATTAAATTGTGGTAATATGTTGAATAAGTTGCTTAAAGCGGTAGAATCATGGATTGGACTGTTAGCTGATTCGTCGTTATTTTGATTCTGAAATGAATTACATCTATCAAATCATCTCATGTTACTTCTGCTGTACCTCAGAATTTGTAGGTCCGGTAGTGGAAGCTGAGCCCGAAGATGGCAAACTTGATGGAGAAGGAGATCCATTAGACATGGCTGCCATTTGAGATATGTGCAGTCCCTGCAAAATTTCCATTGAAATGAAAATATTTTTGAAATTTGAACGAATAGTTTTTGGGGAGAATCAAAGAGAGTAAATTGAACAGAGGTGAGAGTACAGTCTAAAATACAACTCGACACTTGTATTTGTCATTTCAGGACAATCAAAATAAAAAAAACAAATGGCAATCGATGCCAAACGAAAGTTTCTTAGAAAATGGATACTAAGCCCCACCCACTTCAGCACCTTGGGTACTGTGGCCTCTCTCTTCAACTTCTATGCTAATGGCTATTCCCTATATGAACAAGGGCCGAACCGTAAATAATATAGAAACTTCCTACCGGCTTCTCTCTCATAACCTTATAAAGCCAGTGGCAGAAATTTTCTTCTATTCAATGATCACACACAAAATCAATAAGGAAAATGTTTTTTTTTGTGAACTTACGGGATCAATGGCCATCATGAGATGATTCAAATCCATTCCCTGGGGCAGTTCTCCTCGCAAAGGCATCTCTGATAAACCATGGGAAAGCATTTCCAACCTTAAAAAACAAGAATACAATTTCAGAAATGAGTATAGTAAGAGGAGGAAAAAAAATGAATGAGAGGGAGAGAGAAGGAGAGAAAGGTTAGAAGGTAGGTCATGATGACACAATGAAGGCTTATTTGCGTAAATAGGCAGTTATTCTCTCATAAACTAACCTCCTAATTTAGATGTTCCTGTGCTGCTGTGATTGTCGGAGAGAAGGAAAGAAGAGATTTCAGACCTTTCTGGCAATTTTTACTTCTGCAAATACAATAATGAGTTATGAAGAGAAACGACACTATACTGCTTGAGAAGAGAATATAAAAAAAAAGAAACAAGAAGAGTTCTAATTTAATAAAAAGAAAAAGAGAGAGAGAGAGAGAGAGTGGACAATGAGAGAGTGATGAGTAGTAGTAGTAGAAGAGAGAGAGGGAGAGGACACAAGAGAAGGGAGATAAGATTGAGGAATATAGTTGGTATTGAAAAAAATAAAAGAAAGTCGAAATAGAGAGAGAGAGATATAGAGAGAGAGAGAGTGAAGAGTGTAGAGAGAGAGAGAGAGGTAGAAGGAGCAAGATTAGAGGTCATTGAGATAGAATGATATGCAATGAAGGTTCTTTGATTTTCTAATATTTGACTAAGTTAGTCAATCAACATATTTTTTATTTGAATTACCTTAGATAGAAACTATAAGAATCAATCAATACAATCACATACATACACACATCCTCTATAACATACTAACTATGCTATTTATATGTTATTTAAACTAGTTAAACTACTATAGAAGAATAAGTAACAGAAGGATCTGCTCGGTCGCCGGGTTCTTCACAGGCAGTGTGTGTAGAGAGACATCTCCACAGACTGTAAAGTCAAAAACACTGACAACTGACGCGTTCGTTCAGTTCTTTTTTCAATCTGCCATAAGGGGATCAAGCGAATATGAATTCTCTTTCTCATCCTCCTCTTCTTACTGCTACTGTTTAAGAGAGCAAGAGAGAGAGAGAGAAGTAGAGATCAAAATGTCATAATCGCATTTTGATCATTTGATAAGAGTTGACACGAAATTGGACATCAAAGGCATTATGCCGATCGTCTAGGTGCCCAGGATATGGATCAACTAATAATAAAACAAGCTTGGATAAGATAAACTATACATAGAGAGAGTGAGGGATATGCAGAGGGAGAGAGATAAGAATGTGAAAAACGACTGAATGTTTCATTCATTGTGTCAAATAGTCTGTTCGACATAATTAGCTGAAGAAGAACACATAGGGAGGGTAGGGGAGGAGGAACACACACGCACACCCGCATCTTTCCCTCTCATCTTCTGCTCTCTCTCTCTATATCCCTGCTATTCTCTCTCGTAATGTTCCTACATTTCCCTTTCAATATCTTTCATTATCATTTTCTTCTTCTTCTTTTTTTCATTTTTCAACACAAAGTTGTCTGATGATCCTCGAGCAAAAACAAATTGAACAAAATCGTTTTTGCTTTTTCGAAGCAAAAAAAACTTTTTTTCTGTTACAATCAAAAGCTTCCTATGTTCTATCCATTCATATACTTCTCAACATCTTCAATCTCAAAAAAAATAAAAGAAAAGACCTTAATTTGCATATAAAGAGAGAGAGAGAGGATGATGTGAGAGAGATAAGATAGAGAGAGAGAGAGAGAGAGAGAGATGTGCGAGGAGGGTTATGAAACAATAAAAATAAACAAAAGAAGAAGAAAAAAAGAAAATACAACCGTTCATCATGTCTTCAAATGCATAAAATGACTTCAGAATTCCCACGTAAATTTCACGTGGGAAACGTGATTCGCACGTGTAAAGATGAGACGTCAAGTGATTTTCATTTTTTGTAACAAAACTATCAAATTGGAGGAATAAACTCAAACAAAAACCATTTTTGGTCAATTAAATATTTATTTTTCTTAACCAAATAAAGGACTAAATCCACTTGTAATTAAACTACAGAGAGGGAGAGAGGGAGAGAGGGAGAGATAGAGAGAGAGAGTGAAGAAGAGAGAGAGAGGGATGAAAGTATAAAAAATGAAGAAAAAATGGTTTTGGTGAGAGATTCGCTGTTTGATCCAAATGATATAAATGATAAGTAACAAATAGCCAAATGGATGCTTTAAAATCTTCCAATACTAGTTGTTAATTGAACATTTCAAAAGAGAGAGAGAGAGAGAGATGTATACAGAGAGAGAGAGAGAGAGAGAGAATTAAACGAGTACAGAACCAACTTGTAATAGGCTTCCATCTTTTTAAAGAAGTTGTTGTTTTGTTAGAAAACGGGATGTTCAGACTTATCTAATCAAACAAAATGAGATTAAAAAGACAAAAAGTTCTCTCAAACACAAAAATTTTTAACAAAAGATAAGCTGGATTTATCAATTTTAAAAAGATATATCCTCTTGTCAATGGAAAACCCTTTCAAATCTTGTAGACTGCAGATAGAGATTGATAAAAAGAGAGAGAGACAGAGAGGGAGAGGGAGTGAGTGATAGAGAGAGAAGTAGAAACGGAACTGTAGATGGGCTTGGAGATTTCAAAAAAGAACTTTCTAATACAAGAAGAAGAAGAAGAAGAAGGAAAAGAGGTGGGAGGGAATCAGGAGGAGGGGGGGGGACTGAATGATGGGGGGGTAGAAAACAGCTCCAATTTCAGGTCAGAAGGAAGATTTTTGTCTGAGAAAGACACATGTCCATGTAAGAGAGGGTCAAATATTATAATTTCAATTGTCTCTAGACTCTCTCATCAATGCATGTACTATCTATTGAAATAGACAGAACGATTAATTATATTATATAGTTATTATAATCAAATAAAACAAAAATTGGAGCAAAAGAGGCAGTTTCGACTCAAAGAAAGATAAGAACATGAGGGGCTTGATGAATAGAATAGAAAAATCTACAAATTTCATAAAGGTCAACCACACACACACACACATACATCTAGGAAGGGTCTTATTAGAATAGAGAGAGTTCTCTCTCTATCTCTATAACTCTCTCTCTCTCTATCTCTATAGCTCAACTTACTATACTGTTATCTTACTTAATCTATCGACCTCATCAGAATAGGTTTTGGCCGTAATCAGTCGGCAACTGTTTCAATTTATATTTGTTTTTCCCAAAAAATGCAATGAAACTTTGATGGTCACATGAAGATAAAGGGAAGAAAACTTAATTTTGGTCAAAAACTCTTTCAAGGAGGAAGTTCTTAGAAGTTAGAGAGGGAGAGAGAGAGAGAGAGAGAGGGATGAAAACATATTGTCAGAACAATGGAATAGTGAAGCTCAACGAAAGCTCTGTCAATGAATGGAATTGAGGCAAAATCGAGAAGATAATAATCAGCAGCAGCAGCAGCAACAGAAGAAGAAGAAGATGATGATGATGTAGAAGAAGAAGAAATAACTTTCTTTTTTTTTATTTCTTCTTCAAATCTTTTTGGTCTGATGGCTGCTGCTGACCTCGAAATTTGTGGAGCCTGGGTCAACTGGGCCTTAACCCAATGAATCTTATCCATTAGGATTCTTTTTATATTTTTTATTTCTTACATTCCTCACACTCTCTTCATCATCAATAGTGTTTGCATGTAGAAGAAGAGATAGAGAGAGCTGAGCCTCTTCTTGAAGGTAAATTCACACAAATTGTCCTATAAACTAGAGCAAACACATTGTCGGCTATATTCAAAGCTTTCACGTTCCAACATTCACGTGACCCTGGATTCGAGAGTTAAGCATTAATCTCATCTCTCTACCTCTCACCTCTATCTCTCTCTCTCTTAAGCCTTTGCATATTTAACTTGACCAAAAAAGGAAAAAATGACCCAAAGACTTGCCAAACATCTTTTTCCGTCTCTTCCACCTTTTTCTCTCTTTTCTTAGGCTTAAACATGGCTTTTATACAGCTTGTTCCTCGCTTCCTCCCTCGCATCATCCTCTTTGCTTTCAAATCCAAAATTTCCGATAAAACTTCCAAATTTGGGCAAGAAAATGAATGAAAGAAACAAAATATTTTTTCAACAAATAAAAGAACATTTCTATATAATTACATATGTTAAACAACAATTTGCTTTTTTCATTTTAATCCTTTCCAAATTCCACTTACAGCACGTACATACACGTAGATGTAGAAGCTGAAGAAGGAGAAGAAGCTGTGAAGAGGAGGCAAGAGAGCTACACATAGAGAGAGAGAACTGTAGATGATGCAGACACTACCAAAGAAGTTACAGATAGAGATTGATGTTCAAGTAGATGGAGAAAGAAGAGGAGGAGGGGAACATACAGATAGACACGACTGTAGAAGAAGCATGTGCACAGCCAAAAGAAAACTTTTTTTTGTTTTCTATAACAACATATACAAACGATACTCCCTTTCTACTGCAAGAGCATAGATGTAATAAGAGATTGAAAGCTGTTGCTACCTTTTCATAGAAGAGAGAGAGAGGTATCATATCGCTAACGAGAAATAAATAAACTTCTTTATTTGGAATTTCTGTATGCATGTGTTAGACACACCCTCTCTCTATCTCTCTCTCTTACTCCCTCTCATCACATCTCCTCACCTTACTAACTACTTCATTCGGCATTTTCAAAGATGTAAAACTTCAAAATGAATCATGAAAAGCTTCAAAATTCAACGAAACTCATGTACAATCTTGGAAAACCAATAATCGCCCAACCACACATGGTCATACACGAAATTTGAAACCTCCAACCTGTCAACTTTGGAACAAATCCAAAATTAAATCTCAATTTCTTCACACTAGCTTAAAGCCTTCAAGACCTTATCAGGCAATAGGAAGTAAAAAGAAAAAAAGGAATATAGAGAGAGAGAAGGGAAGAGGAACGAATGTCAAAACACACATACACATACACATACACACATACATACAGAAGAAACCTCCCAACATTTTTTTTTTGCTTCTCTCCAAATGCTAAACCGGTAAATTGAGATTAGCAACTGATCTTCCTCTCTCA